ATGTTTGTCTTTCCTGTCCCAATTACGGTTCTTCATAACCTGGAGAAGTTGAAAGCCGCTTTTTTTGGGGCGCGGATTTGAATGATCGTCATATGCATTGGGTTCGCTGGGATCGAGTCCTTGCTTCTAGAGATGACGGGGGATTAGGAGTGGGTAGTCTTTTTGCCTATAATAGGGCTCTCACTTTGCGTTGGCGTTGGCATTTCTTTCATTATCCCGATTTACTATGGGTCAGGGTAGTGAAAGTTTTGTATGGTTTAGAGGGTCATGTCCCACCTCTGATCTTGAGAAGCGCATGGACTGGCCATTGGAATGGTATCACTCGTATGTTATCTAATCTTAAGGATCACAAATTTGATTTTCAGTCCCTTTGACCTATCCGGATAGGGATGGAGCGTATACTTCATTTTGGCATGATGTTTGGTTAGGAGATCTTCCTCTTGCTACTTCTTTTCATAGGTTGTTTGCTTTGGATACTCACTGTACAACTACAGTTAGAGACCGAATAAATATTAGGCGGGATATGTGTCATTTTAGACAAATTTCTAGAGGTGGTATCGAGGAGACCCAGTGGACTACCTTTTCCAGACTTATGCAGGATGTACGGCTTCAAAGTGTTCTAGATAGGTTGGGATGGTCTCTTGATATCTCTGATAGTTTTTCAGTTTCTTCAGCTCGTTCTTTTCTCGACAGTGGGTTGATTACTTCGATAGATATGACTACAAGATGGAATAATTGGCTTCCTATTAAACTCAATACTCTTATATGAAGGGTGCAGCTTCAGAGAATTCCATCAAGGGATAGAGTTTCATCTAGAGGTATTCTAGTAAGATTTTCGATACGGTGGTTATAACAACATTTTGGTGCATTTGGAATTTCAGGAATACCATCATTTTCGGCATAGTTATTCCTAAATAAGCTTTGCTCTTTGATGACGTAGTTGATGATAAGTCTTACTTTTAAATTTCAAATAGATGTAAAAAAAGCTAAATTAGGATGGTCTACTTGGCTCGTAATCCATCTTCTATTATCATGTAATTGTTTGTTCTAGCTTCTTGCTACTTTAATAAAATTCCGCTGTTCAAAAAAAATATTTACCTAAATTATTATTTTCTTCAATTATAAAAAATTAAAAACCGTAAATTACTAAATAATTAAATCACCGAAAATAATTCAACACTTTCATCATGTCTATTTTCACCATTAAAGTTTGAAAGATGTGAAAATTAAAAGTTTTCTTTATTCTTAGTTACACATTTTATATATATATATATATATATATATATATATATATATATATATATATATATATATATATATATATATATATATATATATATATATATATATATATCCTTTTAATTGTTTTTCTAATCAAATAAATTAGTTTAATACATATCGATTGAAGGCAAACGGGTAACAAGATAAGCCACTAGCTCTTTCTGGATAACAAAAAAAATTGTTTTGAAAACTACATTTGTGGATATAAGAGATATGATACATGACATGTTGAAACAACAAACACGCTAACTTATTTCTAACTGTCATGTATATATTCTAAACGAATAACCAATAACCCTTCTTCAAAATAATAATAATAATAATAACAAAAAAAAAAATAAAAAAATAAAAAAATAAAAAAATTAAAAAAATAATTTGTTGTCGTTAGACCAAATTACAAACCACATGATCCTTAAGAATTGAATATTTAATGCACATATTGATTAAAAACAAATTCATTTAACATCAAAGTCAAAGTCTACGAAAATCTGTGACACCACTAAAACTTTGAGACTTTTCAATATATACTGCAAATATATTTGGAGACTTTTCAGTATAAACTCGAAAATTGATTGGAATGAATATTCAAATTTCATTTTATATATATATATATATATATATATATATATATATATATATATATATATATATATATATATATATATAATATATTTTGATCCGGTAAAAAAAAATTTTGATAGGAAGGTAAGAAGTTTTTTTTGTATATATTTTTTTAACGAACAAAATAAACGAATCACTAGATGATTCATTTGTAAGATGATTCACAAGAAAAAATTGTCAAAAACATATCTTTATGATTCATTTTTAAGTAAATTAAGAAAAAATTTATTCTTATGCTAATTTTAGTGAAAAACAACAAAATCATTTTATAAATGAATCATCGAGATGTTTTTTGAAATTTTTTTCTTGTGAATCATCTTACAAATGAATCATTTAATGATTCATTTTGTTTGTTTGCGAAAAAAATATGTAGAAAAAAAACTTCTTACCTTCCTACCAAAAATTTCATTCTTATTTGATCTTGATTCTATATATATATATATATATATATATATATATATATATATATATATATATATATATATATATATATAGAGTCAAGATCAAATAAGAAGGAAATTTTTGGTAGGAAGGTAAGAAGTTTTTTTTCTACATATTTTTTTCACGAACAAACAAAATGAATCATTAGATGATTCATTTGTAAGATGATTCACAAGAAAAAATTCTCAAAAAAACATTTCGATGATTCATTTATATAATAATTTTGTTGTTATTCATTAAAATTGTCATAAAAGTGATTTTTTCTTAATTTACTTAAAAATGAATCATAAAGATGTGTTTTTGAGAATTTTTTTTGTGAATCATCTTACAATGAATCATCTAGTGATTCATTTTTTTTTGTTCGTCAAAAAAATATGTAGAAAAAAAACTTCTTACCTTCCTACCAAAAAAAATTTCTTACCGGATCTATATCCTATATATATATATATATATATATATATATATATATATATATATATATAATATATATATATATATGTATATATATATATATATATATATATATTCTCCTTAATAAATAAAGGTTTTTTTGTCACATGTCAATTTTTTATAAGTTTTGATATTTGTTATTTTGAGGTATTTTTGAAATAAATATTATCCACTTGTCAATTTTTAGTTTTGCTTAAATTTTTAAAATTAAAATCATATATTTATATATGAAAAGTATTATATATATATATATATATATATATATATATATATATATATATATATATATATATATAAGCTTAGGTATATAAGCTTAATGGTATATAAACTTAGGTACCCAAACTCATCATAATATATCGTTTTGTTTGATATATTCATTATAATATTGTTAAACATCAATCCTTAACTTGATTTACATTCAATATTTTTAAATTTTCACTATTGTATTCTTCTTACATAACATCTTTTTGTCGAACACTTACTAGGATATATATATAGATATATATATATATATATATATATATATATATAATATATATATATATATATATATATATATTATTGTTGAAAATGACATTTATGTAAGAGAAAGATAAATATGAAATTTATTAAAATCTTTAAAGTAATTCAAGTTAGAAGTTGAATTATAAGAACATTCGACAATTACAATGTCTATATATAATACAAAATGATGTAGTATGATGAGTTTGGGTACCTAAGCTTATATACCCTTAAGGGTATATTCACTTTTCCCATATATTATATATATATATATATATATATATATATATATATATATATGTGTGTGTGTGTGTGTGTGTGTGTGTGTGTCTCGTATACACATATATATATATATATATATATATATATGTGTGTGTGTGTGTGTGTGTGTCGTATACAAAAATAACCATTTGATCAAAAAAACATTATAAAATAAAATTTAAAAGAACAATTGTTATAAAATATGATCAAATAACAATATAAATTATAGAGTAAAGAAAGATATGAGAGTAGAGAGAACTTTTATTCCAATACTTGTGATGAATTCATATATTGCCTAATACATATGGCTCACTATTTATACTATCCAAATAAGATGAAAGATGAACTACAATATGAATGCACATTATGATGGTGTATTATTACATTCATAAAACATATTGAAATGGTTGTTACTAATGCTAAATAATGATGGAGAGTTATGGGAGAAATGGAGAATTCAATGGTCATTCACAAACTAATATTTCATAACACTCCCCCGTGAATGACGATTGTATCATGCCTCGTTAAAACCTTAATAGGTAAAACCTCATGGGAAAAACCATTTGTTAAGGAAAAAGAGTACATGATTAATAATAGATATTTGGAACAATTGCCTCGTTAAAAACCTTGCTAAGAAAACCCAGTGGGTAAAACATAGCTAAGGAAAAGAGTACAATGTGTTTCCAACTCCCCCTGATCATCACATCACTTGATTTTCTTAAAGCGTCGCATTCCAATATTTTGTACCATGTTTTCAAATTTGGATGTAGGGAGCGCTTTAGTGAACAAATCTGCCAAGTTCTTACTTGATTGAATTTTTTGGATGTTGAGGCCACGCTCTTTTTGAAGATCATGAGTAAAAAAAACTTTGGTGATATATGTTTGGTTCTATCTCCTTTGATAAACCCTTCCTTGAATTGGGCTATACAAGCCGTATTATCTTCATATAGTATGGTTGCAACGTCCCTCATGAATTGCTCCACAAGTGAATAAATAACCTCGAAGATATCGAAGAATGTGTTTGACTCCACTCTAATGTCTTCTTGTTGGCAAGAAATATATCTTGCTAATAAGTTTACAGCAAAAGATATATCAGGTCTCGTATTATTAGCAAGATACATTAGTGCACCAATAACATTAAGATATGGTACTTCAGGACCAAGAAGTTTTTCATTTTTTTCACAAGGCCGAAACGGGTCCTTTTTGGCATCTAAATTCCTTACTACCA